CTAATACACAACTATTTTACCTGATAATGATTTGTATAATTCTAGACAAATACCAATCTCAGTTTGGTGCTGGAAATCAGACTTTCTCATATTATCATGAAGAGGATGAAACCTCATTTCAGCTTGTTGACACGTCCCGACCTCAACGACCAGCTTACTTGAAGAACAGGAATAGGGTAAACATGGTATGGTAGACACTTTGTACTATACAAAATGTTTACTTTTATTGTCTTTGAACAAGTATGTAAATTTGCATATCAAAAGAAAACTGCTTAACCATGTTAACTGATTGCTAACATTCACAGAGAGGAAGAAACAGAGACCAGAGAGGTGGTCGTTATGGGAACCAGCGATTTGACAATAATCAGTCTGGTGGTATGCAAAACTTGATGAGAGGGCGCGATAATCGCAATAAATTCCAGCGCAGAATGCAGAGGAACTATGGCGGTGGACGATGGGGAGACAGAAAACAGGGGGTAAGTTTGGCTTTATGAAACTTTTGAAACAAGAAGAGTAGCTTTACTCTTGTTAGACAAAGTTTGCAGCTATTGGAACCTTTTAGGCAATGGTTAGTTCTGGTTATGACTGACAGATGAGCAAAAATGTATTCTTGTATCATTCACTTTGTAATTTTCTTTTCTAATCTGTACTTTGTTATGTATGTATATTTGTAGTTRAAATTATCAAAAGTCTTTTAAGTTCAATTTTATTTTATGTATGTACATCATGCTGCTGCAAAAGCTGTCATGGCTGTCATGTTCAGGTTGATAATCTTTTAATTTTTTGTTGAAGGGTCTTCACAAGAGAGTGTCATCTGTGGCTGTAAGAGAAGAATGGAAGATTTTAGAAGATGGAGAACTGGACTTCCCAAGACTGACCAAACTAAGTCTTCCAAATGTTGGTGAACCTGAAGACTTGTAAGTGCTTTTTAYATCATCACCCATTCCTAACATTCCCTCAAGTCCCAATAATGATTCAGCACACAGAGTGCGGTGGTCGGTCCAAGCCAACGAATCACAAGTTGATTCAAACATTGAGTTGTATGATATGTCGTGTTGATATCAGGCCCAAATATTATAAWCTGCCTGTAAAATCTGTGTGCAAAACGTCTTTGTTACTTGTTTTATTTGAGTTTTTGGTATAAAATTGAATTTTCGTCTGTTATAGCACATCTTCTTGTATTACAGGTATGTTTGTGGTAATCTGCAGTACTATGATAAGACAATGGATCGTATTACAACCAAGAATGAGCTTCCACTTGTTGGGGTGGACAGGATATTTCATAAAGTTACAACAACTGATGATCCTATCATTAGCAAAGTAAGATAAACTTCACTGATAAAACAGAAACTAGTTTAAGTTCTCTTAACTCTAACATGTTGTTTATTTTACAAGAAGCAGCAATAATTCTATAATCATATCAACACGAGTACAAAATTACTATCACTGATTGTGTGCTATTTGTAGCTATTATCACAAGGAAATGTCTTTGCTACTGACACAATCATGGCTACATTGATGACGTGTACTCGCTCTGTGTATTCCTGGGACATTGTTGTGCAGGTAGGTTGATAAGAAAACAATTCACAATGGCTAAATTTGAATTTGGAATGCCTTTTGTGTTAGTTTATTAGCTATTTTATTTCATTTCTAAGTTTAAGTTTAATTTGTTTAGTTCTTTGATTGAAACGCTTCTTTGTCATGTCAGCTCCATGGTTATTAACAGTGAAGCCTGAATACTAGATATGCCTCACAAGTCACAATCAAGTGACAATTAAAAATGACATTTTTTTCTTTTCTTTATTAGCGAGTTGGATCTAAGCTGTTCTTTGACAAGCGTGATGACTCAGAATTTGGTAAGAAATATAGTTTATTTACAAATAAAAACATATGCTCATGTTGTGTTTATTTGTTTTCATCAGATTTGTTGTCAGTGTGTGAGACAGCTAATGATTTGAATATTGATGAAGGAAGTGGGATCAATACTCCAACCAATCTTTCCCTGGAAGCCACTTTTATCAATCAAAACTTTTCGCAGCAAACKCTAAAGAAAAAGATAATGAGTTTTGACAAAACAAACCCTTTTGTTACCGAAGAAGACAAAGAAAGAGTGGCTTCTGTAGCATACAGGTAAAAAGAAAACAGCAACAACTTTATTTTGCTCAGAGAAAATACAACAACAAATGATTCCTTGTTCTGATTTCTTGTTGTTAATGAATTAGCAAGAATGTTTTCTTTACTGTTCAAAGAATGGTTCATGTGAAGATTGTGGTTAACTAATATAGTACTTAGTGCAATACTAATTTTTTACCATTTTATAAACTTGATGAAGGTATCGTAAATGGGACCTTGGTGATGGTAATGCTGTCATTGTGAGGTGTGAACATGATGCAGTCATGCATGGACCTAAAGGAGAAGAGGCTTTGATTAACATTAAAACACTCAATGAATGGGATTCCAAGGTACTGACAWGGATTTCTTTCCAACTAGCTTCTTACACTCTTCATGTTAGTGATGAGTTTGTTTTTATTTTTAGATTGTTGGTGTAGACTGGCGTCAAAAACTAGATTCACAACGTGGCGCTGTTCTTGCAACAGAACTAAAGAACAATAGCTGCAAGTTAGCCAAATGGACTGTCTCTTCTATCCTAGCTGGGTCAGACTACCTCAAACTTGGGTATGTTMAACTTCTTTATTCTCTGAAGTGTGTATAATATTGATGCAGTTGTGAAAAAAGATAAATTTAACACCATAAAAAAAGTAGGTGAAATAACTTACTGACGTTTCGRATGTTAAAACCTTTGTTKTAGTACTATTGATGTATAGTTTTTGCAAATTGATGTACAGTAAGTCATAGTAGGGTTTTATTGAATAAGGTTTTAGACTATTGTCACCCAACAAATTGTCATTGATAGCAATACTGTTTTCTTAGGTATGTGTCGCGTGTGAACTTCCTGGACTCCTCCAAACATGTTGTCTTAGGCACCCAACAATTCCGTCCCAAAGAATTTTCAACTCAGATTGCTTTGAATATGGACAATGCATGGGGAATCTTCCGTTGTATTGTGGACATTTGTTTGAAGCTTCCTGAAGGAAAATACATCATCGTCAAAGATCCTCAAAAGGTATGGCACCACTGGGTGTTGTTGGGTATCCTGTGTAATTCAGTTGCCAACTTACTGTAAGCTATTGGGTAACCTGTGTACTTTGATGGTTCACAGTGCGCAGTGTTAACCTCAGCAGCCTTTACTTGTAAGATGTGCAGTAAATTGACTTTTTAATTAACGTTTTATCTTTGTAAACACATTGGGTTGGCAAGCACCTACATGTGTGACCTGAACTGGATTCTTATCTCCATAGACAAATTTYAAACTTGGTTGTTTTCTTGTCAGGGTATTGTTCGTATTTATGACATCCCAAACAGTACATTTGAAAGCAGTGATGAAGATGGTGATGATGAGGATGAAGAAGATGATGAGGATGAAAAAGGTTGGACAATAAAAACAGTATTTTTGTCAATACCAGTAAACAGATCTGATTATTTGATTATTGATTGATTATTGATTGATTGTTTCTTTGATTGAGAAATTAAATCACATTTCTATGAACTCCACAACACCATTATTATAATTATTATTTTTTCATTTGTTCTTTTTATTATTTTTTCAGATGATGACTAAACCTCATTGTTTTCACTGGATACTGATGATAAAAGTAATGTTATTGGATTACGCCAGAACTGTAAACAACAGCTAATTACCTATAAACCTTCTCTTTCCCTCTTGAAAAACTTATAGAACAGCCTTGCACAGTACAGACACTACTTAGATCATTAATTCCATTGATTTGCTTAGTGTGGCCTGTGTAGCTGGTCCTCAAACTATGCAGACCATCTTTAGCAACACTCATACATATACATCAGCTGTCCACAAAAAGCAATGTCAGTTATTGTCAATTTTGAAACATTAAATTCTCAAATCTTAACTTTATGGATTCATGAATGTATACCCCATTCCCAAAGATACCATTGCGTGTCAGATAATTGATGACAGGGATGGTGATGACAGTCATGGAATAGCATGTACTGATAATAATTACGATATGCTATGATAGCGATGCTAGAAGTATGGAAATCATAACTTGCTATTTATTTCCTGGTAAAGTAAAACTCTAGTAGTCATCATTGTACCATCATAAATGAATCAATGCTTGCAAGGAACGATAATCACCTTTGATTTGTTTTCAAATGACGACTGATGACTAAAAGTACCTCGGGGAACGAGATTTCTGTGTTTGGCTATGAGTCAAGAACGAGTAACGGGTCAGACAATCCTTTAGAACTCGTCGACAATGGAGTAATATAAAGTGTTGTTGTCTGGGCATTGTTAAGAACTATTATCAAATTGAATTAACATTCCTAGTAGTTCATTATAAACTGACGATTGATGTTCATACTAATATAGTTTAAGGAAGGAATAGATGACATGATAACCAAGATGTCATCMAGGTGAAACTACTTAGTTTAGGAATGTGTTGAAGCCTCTKTGATCCACAGCAGGCTATTTCCTTGCTTGTCACAGTCATGGCGGCCAACATGTTGATTCTAGCTGTCTTACTGCTGATATTTTCTTCGACTTCATGTGAAAAGAATGACGCTAAAATTAATTTGGCGCTCTACTACGAAAGCCTTTGCCCTGATTGCCGAGACTTCATAGTTGATCAGCTTTACCCTACGTATGAGAAAGTGTCTTCTATGTTCAATCTTGAGCTTATTCCGTATGGGAACGCGAAAGAAACGAAACATRGTGATCARTGGAACTTTCACTGTCAGCATGGAAAGATACAGTGTCAGGGCAATATCATCGAAACGTGTGCGATTCACCTTAACAAAAACAAATCAGAGCCTTATATTCAGTTTATCCATTGCTTTGAAAAGAACATTGTGGATGGAAAGAGTGTTGAGAACCCGCTTTCAGYAGCAGAGCAGTGCGCTGAAGACCTGGACATCGATTATCAGGCTATAGAGGACTGTCAAAAAGACAGGTTTGGTAACGCGTTGGAACACCAAATGGCTCTGAAGACAAACGCACTTCGACCGAAGCATGAGTATGTACCATGGATTGTGCTGAATGGAAAACACTCTGAAAGAGTTCAAGACAGGGCAGAAGGGAACCTTCTAAAGCTTCTGTGTGAAACATACACGGGACCGAAGCCCTCAGCTTGCCAAGATGTTCATGAAGGGAGATGCTACAACAATGACAAGAAGAAACACCAATTTGAAACACCGTAACTTAAACTGAAGTCACAAGTGTTTTTTATTCGGTTTTAATGTTATTTTCATAACTGGTTAATCCTTAATCAACGATGTTGACAATGGAGCTGTAGGACTATAAATGGTCGACAAAGCTGTCTGCAAAAATAGGCGAACCAAACACACGGTATGAATGATGACTTTGTGTATCATATGTCACGGGACAGGTCSCCATAAACAGTGTTATTATTGTGCATTGTTTGACTATCTTAGCCTGTGAGTTAGAACACAGAGTARTCTTGACCCGATTTGCGCTAAGAARTGTTTCCCGCAATCTAGTCGTTCTAGAAATAGTTATTGAACAGATCTTAGAATATAACATGTTTTTGCAGATTTGAGGCATATATCACTTTAAGTTGATTAAATAATCACAACAGGACGCAGTATATTATTTTACTCGGTCCACATCCGACGCAGCCGACYACGAGTCTCTTTCAAATCAATTAACCGATAATAATCTCAATGGCGATGATGTACATTTTTGATGATTYTTAAAACGGCTTTTGCTCCCTTTGGATGTCTTTTATCTTACAGCGAAAAGTAATAGGTCGAGACGATATAAGATTTATATGYACTGGAAATCGGCTAGGCTTTGGCCTGTGTGTGAKAGACTGAACGCTAATACCATTCAAAGCATGTGGACCCTGTKCAGTAGTGTGCGTGTTYTTTTAGCCCTTATTCTGCTACTCTCAGAATACATTGTCCAGAATAATCAGAAGGACTAAACAGGCAGTGAGGCAAAATCAAGGTAGATGTACAACATTAGTTATCTCATTATCAATTTTTTTTAAATGAATGACGTAATGAATACGCTATACATTGATACTCGATTCTGATTGGCTAAGAGCAAGCACAAAAAGTGGCGAAGTAAATAACATTTAAATATCCTATAATGCTAATAAATGATTTATAACATTGTTCCTTGTAAACTAATATTGATTGTTATATTTGATGAGCTGTAGAGCAGGGGTTTTTAAAGTGAATATGAACTTGTTTGGGGGGTTTGTGGCTTTGCTTGTTTTCGTAAAGTTCAGTTTCGGAAACRTCTTAAATGATGACAGAGGAGTAGTCTTTAACAGCCATCCTGGTAAACTGTTGTCCATTCCTGCTGAAATGACAAATGTCACTCARATGTCTTCAAAAGTAGACGACAACATGGACTGCGTGTTCGCCTGCACTGGACAAACATGGTGTCGATCAGTGAATTTCAAGATTGTTCTTGAGAAAGATGGAAAACACATCTGTGAACTGTTATCGGCTGACAACTTTACCCAACAAAKCAACATCCAGCAAAATTCAAGTTTTACTCTTCTTAGCATAAAGGTAATATACCCAATCACTTACCCTTAAGCTTTCTTGTTAAAGGGATTTTCTTCTTTTGAAACTTGTCCTTCAAGCGTTTCTTTGATGATCATATTGAAAATGAGAACTTCTCGATGCACATAGTCCATAAACAGGCACTTGCGGGGTGCGGTCTCGATCCCTGACTGACGGCTTTTAGTTAATTGCTCATGTTGATTCTCTTACTTGCTGTTGTCACAAATATCAAGTTTTTTCTACTAATGCGGTGGGTGAGTGAATGGCCGTTCTCTGGATGATAGTTGGTGTTATTATTACCGTTGTTGTAGACAAATCGTTTATTTTTTATTTGTTTGAGAGTTGTTTGTAAAACGTTTTTTTTATTACGCACGCATCCTTTCTGAAACATATACCATGCAGATTGCTTATCTCGATTGAAATGTTTATATGTTTTTCACGTCGGTCCCCTTTGACAACCTCAAAAARAMACAGCCGACTTTAAATGGTATTGTGACGCGAGGGAAAATAAACACACAACAGCGAGTTATGAATGATAACAGGGCACCTGCTATTGATTAGTGAACACCCTTGTTTTACCACGTAGTAGTGGCCACGGGTTAGTTGTCCAATATAAAGATGTCAAAAGATAATATTGTATTTAAATTACGCAAATAAAGGTAGTTGATTGGTTGAAATGAATAACCGATTTCTCGACTTCAATTAAACAGAATCCCTGTGACGTAAGCCCATGCCAGAATGATGGGCTGTGTGTGATGGTCAACCGAGTCGACCGTATCTGCGAGTGTAATGGACGATRTGTTGGTGCAAACTGTGAAGGTAAGGTTCTGGAGCCAAGCATTGTAAAGTGAGAAGTGTATTTTCAATAAAAAGGTATTGTGTAAATGGTTTATATTTAGATCCATGGATTATTAAATTATGATGATAGTTATTATCATTACTAATCTCTCTATTGTTTCTTAYAGTACCAAAGTCATGCAGTGAGCTGAAGAAGATGTTTCCCGACATACCATCGGGTAACTACGTCATTGATCCSGATGACCAATCAGAGCAGAAGGCATTTACTGCATACTGTAATATGACTGACAAGGGAGGGGTAGGTGTTACTGTTATCAGTCATAATAGAGAGGCCAGGACTCTTGTTAACAACTGTCCAGATAGTCCAGGTTCTTGCAAGCATAGTATTTCATACAATGGAGTATCGATKGCACAGTTGGCAAAACTGGCACACATATCCGCACATTGTGAGCAGTTTATCCAATTTGAATGCCTAAACGATGTCAAGTTTGTGGCAGACAACCCTAGTTACGCTTGGTGGGTGTCACGTGATGGTGTACGTCAGGAGTACTGGGGCGGGGCGACACCAGGAAGTGGTAAATGTGCCTGTGGTATGACCAACACTTGTAATGATAAGTCAAAAGGATGCAACTGTAACAACGCTGGAGATAAAGATAAAGGATGGTTTACTGACAGCGGTCTACTCACGGATAAATCCACTCTTCCCGTGACCCAGATGCGGTTTGGTGACACAAATGAAATTCGTGAGAAAGGCTACCACACCCTGGGAAAACTGAAGTGCTACGGGTAAACATGACGTCATGAAAAACACGCTATAAAGAACTGTATATGACACAATTGAATAGTACACTTTTCTTAGGTGATTTTGTATGAGAATGAGAATAATAGCTTAATCGAGCGTTCTAAAACTCATGAATTGTTCATTAGACATTCTTCCAATGAGAATTYAACTATGGGTCACGTGACAGGATCTATAACTGAAGTTATAAATACTGATGAATTAAACATGAGTTTTTTAACTAACCRGTTCAGTTAGTTATAACACKAATGCATAAAACATCAGTGTTGTAGCTGATTTGTACAGACACTCGATGTGTGCCCAACACTAGAAAAGTTCTCAGTTTTAGACTCTCATCATAGAATTTCACTAGATCTCGAGTTGAAATTACTTATTTGCAGAGTCACAGACACTAAAACATAGTGGCGTTTGGATGTGGGACACCAAGTTGATTACTGCTCATGCTCAGATGGAGATATCTTCATCAATTATTCATTTTTGATATTTTTTTTATTTATTTCATGTTTATTGTAGTTTCTTAGGTTTGGGTTTTAGAAGTCATTTAAAAAACTCGTAGTTC